CAGTGGCATCAAAAGGCAGTCTTGGCTCTCTGTTGGCATTAAGTAATAATGATACTTGATACCACATTCATGAGTTGGTGATAACAATGTCTTCAATATGAGTGTACAGGGTAAGTTATGACACTTGCACTTATTGGTCATTATTTGTGGCAGTGCTCATTCATACAGCAGTAAAAGTGCCTTGCATCACTTCTTAATGGTACCAGCTCAAGCAAATAAATCAAACCTGTCTTTCATACTAATTTTCTTTAGAATATAAAATAAAGTTCAAGGTTTGGGCTTGAGCCCAGCATCTCTGATTGCCTGAAGCACAGGAATAAAAGTAATATTCAGCAACTTAATTCCTCTACAGTGGATATACATAAAAGTAGCTATTTAAGAGAGCTTTCCTGGGTACCAGGCTGAAAATGAACTCTCTACACACCAAAGGCCCATTAGAAACCTGGCTTTCTGCTGTAAGACCTTGTCTTCACTACAAAAGCTCAGTCCAACTTCGCAAAAGCAAGGTACTAACTACGCTTTTTTTTCTTTAGGAAAGTGGTGGACGGAGAAATATTCGAAGGCAGAAGCTGATGATGGTGCTGGATGTGCTGCTCTGGAAGGAGCCGCTGCTTCAGAGCGCCCTGTGTGAGTCCGATACTGAACTGAGGAGCTGGAACCCCCCTGTCTGCGCCAGGGAGATCAACGGGGTCATCAGCGCTGCCCGCACCGCGGCGCGGGGCGAGGGAGTCTCGCGGGCGCTACACAGAACCAAAAATTAAAGCCACGTCAGAGGAAAGTAAAACTATCGGGAATGTTACAATTCTCGCCTCCAGTGTGGTCCAAACCAGACACCTGGGCAGCAGCACAAGCACAGGACGCACACCGCGACATCACTTTCCCTATTTGTAATCCTGTGACCTCTTGCGATGCCAAGTCCACACAATCTGTGGAGGCTCAATTTGTGAGACTTCTCCCTGCCGACCCCGGCACAGCCCCAGGTGTGCTCCTCCTCCGCTCCCCAGGTGTACCCTGCCCGTGGAGGGAGGGCTGTCACCGGAGGTTCGGACACCGTGGCCGAGGAGCCGCTCCCCTCACGGCGGGACACTCCCGGCCGGGGCGGGAGGAGGGAGCACCGCCCACCCCGCGGTGGGCGCATGCGCGTCACTGCGGGAGCGTAAGTCTCCATTTTGCTCCTTTCCCCCTCCCCTTCCCTCCCGTCTCTGCCGAGCTTCCCGGCGGGAGGAGCGGGCTCCGAGGAGAGCCGGGAGCGGAGCGCTGTGCCTGCGCTCCCTGCGGCCGTGCCGCTCCCTGTGCCCTCCGCGCCCGCCGCCCCGCGCCGGGTCCGGGGTCGCCTCGCTGCCCCTCCATCCTCCCCTCCCTCCCCTTTGGGCATTGAACCGCCCCACGGGAACGTTTCGCACTAATTGAAGTGTTTTATTTGGTGGGACCGCGTGCCCGCCTCCTCTCGCTCGGTGTGCGGGCAGGGACCCTCGGGCTGGGCAGAAATACAGCAAGTCCAGAAATACAGTGTACTACAGCAAATCCCCCCCAGCAAAACCAAGGCAATCGTTGCAATGACCAGCCTATGTTTGGATCGCAGAGACTCTGAGCAGTTGGTTATGTTTAATGTGTAAGGCACTAACGCTTAAAATCGTTATTGGTGCTTTATGCGCTTTGTCCCAAGTGATGGATCAAGTGCTCTCCTACCAGTTCCTAAGGGATTTGAGCCGAACGTGGGTAGGCTGGGTGAGAACGCCATAGGCGGGGCAGAGGTAGCTGTGTTTTTCCGAGGATACCACGTCTTCAAGGAACAGATTCATATCGCAGATCTTTCATAAGTCACTTAATAAATTAGTAAATTCCAGAACCAAAGAGCTAAAAAACACCTGCCCTCTCCTCCTCCTCCCCCCCCCCCCCCCAAAAAAAAAAAAAAAAACTCCACTTATTCTTGGTTCTAGGCTGAAACCTAAAACGTGAGCTCAGCGATGCTCAGGTGAAAGTTGCCTTTGAGATAGGAAACACAGCTTAGGCTCAAATTATTTTTGTGGGCTTTAATGTCATTAAAAATCGTTAATGATTTGACACTTAAAAACAGGAATATGCAAAGTTCAGTTCGAAGAATATGTGCAGACAATATGTCAATTTTAAGCAGTTTGCAGCTTTCTGAGTATTTAGTTTTCAAATGTTAGATGTTGATGATTCAAGTAAGACATTCCAGAGCGTGTGCTAAGATCTTAATTTTAAATTGAATCACTGAAATGTCTAATGGAGAAGTGGCGCTAAATGTTTTTCCTTTTTCCTCTGGACAAGATGTCTCTTATCTCCAATAAATAGCAGGCCCCCCAATTTCATAACCTGCTTTCACATTTCCCTTCAAATGCATTTTTAGACATTCTGAGTAGTTTTAAATCTTTGAATGACAGCAGAGTACAATTCCTGTCTTTAAAAATTACATTCTGTGTGCGGAAAAGAAATTCTATTGCTTTTTTCCTGTGTGTTAGGCTTAGAGTGCTGGTAAAATCTGAGATTAGTTTGCATGCCAATGCCACCACTTACTATGAAACCTTTAGTTGTGTTTCTTTCAGCTTGTTTATTTTTTTCCCCTTGTGAGACATTTGATCAGTGACGTTGCTCGTTTCATTCAATGTGAGCTGTTACATTTCCAAGTGTAGCACTTCTGATGCAAGTTCTAATTCAATCTCTTCAAAATATTCTGTTTATAATAATGCTAATTTAATGGTATTATAGCATTGAGAAAACTTAGAAGAATTAAGGCACTATGTGGTAGCTGTGGAGCCTGCTTGTTTTCATTCATTTATTTATTAAAATTTTTTTATTTGAGTCAAATTTTCAGGTTTTTTTTCCAATTTCTTATAATTTGTTACCTTTGTTATGGTTTATGTCTCAGTCTGAGTGCAATGAGAAGAGTGTGTTACAGAAAGCCTGTAGTAATAGTCAAATATTTTAGTTTGACAGCCTTTGAATTGTACGTTTGCATTTTCCATTGGGTTTGCTAGTGACTTAGTTAATATTTTTACACGTTGGGAAAACCGGAGGATATAGAGATGCTATGGAAAACAATGGCTTGGGTCAACTCACGTAACTTAATGTTGAGCATGAGATTATCCACTTGTCATGCATATTACAACTGTGTACGTACTTTATAGGATTTGCCTTTTTGTAGTTACAATGTATAATCCTCTCATGTTCATTTTGTTGTCTGTCACATGAATCCTTTTGTGAATTTGCAGTAAATTGAATTATTCAGTTTTATACATGTCAGTCATTCTTTCTTCTCCAGTATCTGCAGCTTCATTTATGTCAATTACATTTATTTATATTATTTCATGTATTTATAAATTTGTCTATTTCTGCAAGAGTTAAAAATACTGTCACTTTTCAGCTGTGTCATCTGATTTATGTATAGAATGTCATTAGTGTGTGTATAAACAGCTTCAGACAAATTGGTCATGTTTACTACGGAGGCCCAAATGTTGATATATTAAGTCTGCAAGAAAACTGTTGTTGACTTCTATAGCTCAGATTCTAACATGAGACTGATTGCAAAATGCAAATTGATTATTTCCAAATATTTTGTTGCTGTGTAGGCAACGTTTTATTTTGTGCATTAAGATTAATTAGTTCTAAGTGAAACTTCAGTTGGGCAGTATAATCCATATTTTCTCCTTTTTAAATTAATACCTTAAATATCTTGTTTGCCTTCCTGTGGCTTCTTCACTTACATTTAAATTATTCTTGCAGGGCTACATGTTTTTGTTTCTTTGCTATTTCCATAAGCTCTAGGGGAAAATGGACGCTTTAAAGAAGGTCTTAATAAATTATGTTCATTCTTCTTGTCTTTCTCTACTATACCAGTAATTTATCAAATAAAACTGTTAGATATGTTTGGCACAATGTGTTCTTTGCACATCCTTGTAGTTTATAACTCATGTTTTCCAAGTGCAGAGTTAAAATGTGTATGTAATTGGATTTTTTTGTTTGCTTGTTCTGGTTTTCTTTTGATTTTTTTTTAATTTTTTTTTTTTTTTTTTAAGGCCTAAAACCTAACCAAATCTGGTTTTGTTTTATTTGGTGCTAAAATGTGTGCTGGGTTCTTTTGGGTACTTGAGTTTATATGAAGGAAATACGATTATCCCTAAGGCTACAGGGTAATTCTGAGTATCCATCATGAATACCCAGTGTCAGAATTGGAAGCCTTTCACTCTGGAGTGTTTGTAAGTGTTTGTTGTGAAGTAGTTACCTCTTCACGTAATTGCGAGCACACATGCAAAGGGTAAAATTGGGTTGTATGAGAAGCAGCTTCATAATCAGCATTTAGAAAGCTTTACTAGTGAAAAATGAAGCCTGGGTTAGTTGAACATGATTCATGTACTTTCTTTGGTTGTATCTTTAAGCTGGATCTAGTCCTTTTTGTGACTAACCCCTCCCTTTCTGTGTTGAGTCAGTCTTAGTGGTGACTGTGCAAGTAAAGGTTGCTCGTTGCTCGTTCTCTCAGAAGCCAATCAGTGACTCAGCTGTTAAGAGTTTCTGCAGAAGCCCTTAATTAAGACTAATTCCTCCTCCCCTTCCTTAAATGTCAAGACAGTATGTTAACTGTATTCCTACAAGGAACAGATTGGAGAGTTGTAACAAAGAGCTCTCCTCTCCTGGTGCTTAGACTGTGAGGGGAATCCCATCCCATAAAAGGACCCTAAATGGAGGTTGCAGAGACTGTGGTCCCTCAGGGAGATGTGTCAGAGAGGGAGTCTGAGGTTACCTGCAGAGAGAGCAGGTGTTCAGAAAGGTTCCTGCAGATGGTTGTGGTAACAGTGTAGAAAAGACTGAGCTTGAGTGCCTTGGACTTCATTATTTTGAAAAATACAACTCCACCCTCAGAAGTTGAAGCCATTAACATAAGAAGTCCTTGAGCTACACAGCACAATGTATTAATGGTCTATTTTCTATTTTACTTATTTCCCCTGTTTTCAGGCGAAGTACAGGAGATAAATATTGCAAACTCCATGCTTGTTTTCATGGATACTCAGCTTTAATTATGTTCATATTTTGCTACTATGTTGATATTCCATCATGAGTGCATATCATTGTGCTGAATTTCAAGGATCTGGACAGTAATCAGGTGATTTGTTAGCTGCATTTCAATGGAATTGCTATTTATATTCAGCCAGAGATTTTGCTTTGATTGGCAAAAGGAACATTAAGGAATCATCCTTACTTCTTTGGTTAAACTTTAGGCTAAGGTGGTGTTGAAAAGAGCTTGACAAGCATAGCAATTCAAATAAAGGTAAACCAGTATTCTGGAGGCACATCTTGCAGCAATCTAATTATAAATGTGGACAGTGTATTACTGACATTTAAAAGGAAGAGCTTTGTTGACCAGACTCCTTTTTACTGCAAGTGATTAGAAATTTCTTTTTCCTCCTGTTTTAGTTCTTATATGTAGAGTGGTGTCACAGACTAAGCAGAGTTCAAAAAAAAGCAAGTTTTAATAAAGAATAGGCAAACCAACTAATACTATTTGCAAACTCAGTTTTCCTTTGTTAATACTTTATGCTTGTTGAAATCAGCTGCTGATACTGGACCTTTCCACTCTTATTTGCTTTTCCAGATCTTGGATTATTTCAGCTTGCTCCTGCCAGTTGCTCTGTTTAAGTTTCCAGTTTCAACTTCCCTGGAGCAGAAGACAGGCAAGGTAGTGTTCCATTGTACCTTTCAAGTGACATGTTTTCCTTGCAAATATTTGTAATGAAGACCAAGGTGTACAGAATGAATATTTAAAAATACTCCAGGTAAAAGTAGATTAGAGCACTGACTCCTGTGAAAAAAGGGACGAGCTTGGGAGTACAAGTAGCTGTATAAATAGTGGTGTATGTTTGCTGGCCCTGGTGCCACTCTTCAGGCAGCAATCACTGGATTACAGTTTATTCTTGCTTTATACATAACACAGCACAGAAAAGGTGGCTGTGTTGTAGAGATTCAGAATACTGAGTTGTCTTTACCTAAGTGAAAGCTTTTGAGCAGTAATGCCTTTGGTAGTATTGTCTTCTCCAGAGGAGTAACAGTTTCCTTCATTCTTACTGAAACTGCTCAGAAAACCACAATCCTGTCACATTAAAAAAAGAACCCAAAGTGTAGGATTCACTTAGAATAATTATCAACATGCAACTCCATAGCAGAATTAAACGTTGGTATTTGCTGAAAATCAAATAGATTATCGTGGCCATAAGCCCCTGGTAATTATTGCTTTCTGTGTCTTCTTAGAAGGAACTTGGAAAGGTCAGGCATATTCTAATGGTCAACAGTGAATAGATGGGCAAAATGTAGGACTTTGGGTAGATCTCACATAGCAGATGGCTAATATGTGGTTTTCCTATGTTAAAAACCCAGGTATGCTGTAAACTGTATTTCCTTTGGGGATAGAGGGTTATATTCCTTTGTACCATGAGAAACAAGAGTATCCCTGGATAGTCGAGAGGTTTGGGTCGTGCGAAATCTGATTCTTCAAAAACAAATGCAAATTCTCAAACATGTAAAATGACAGTAGATTTTTTTCAAATTTATAAAGTGCTTCTAAAGGCCTGCTCTGTTTAGAAGTGGTGTGGCTATTCTTGCAGTCAACTTGAAAAATTGTAAACAGGTCTTGGCAAAAGAGCTGGTTTTAACCTTTGAGACAACACTAAAGAAAACGATCTAATTGTGATGTAAATAAACCTTTCTATTTTATTGAGAATGTGTGCTTTTCCTCTCATTGATTTGCTCTGCAGTATTGAATATTCCCAGTGTAACTCATGAGATTTGCATTGTAATGCAACCAAAATCAGCTGCATTTGTCAGCTTCACATCTCTAGATAGTCCAAAGTACAGATTTTCTGTATTGGCACTGCAGTGCTGCCTGTTACTTTATCAAAATAGTGCTGTGGCTTACTGCATGAATAGTCAAAAACATTTCTATTAATTCTTCTGAACATAAATGTTTTTTAGCATTAGCATTTGCAGAGATTTAGTAAGGTGTTAAGTTCCTAAAAATCTGATGGGTCTGGTAGGTATTGGCCTTGGCAGGTGTTTTGTTGTTTAGAAGTCATTGCACACTGACTTTTTGGAGTAGTTTTTATATGTCATTTAATTTGTTTTCCAGAATTATTTCTGAAATGTTAAAGAATAAGGCTTTAAATTGGCATAGGATTCATGTTATTGTCCCAGTCAGGGTTATTATGCAAATACTGAAAATTAAGTACTTTCTAAACTGTTTTGCTGGATTTGTGCACAAGTTTTAACTGGGAATGAAGAGATAATGAAGGACTGTTAGAAAGCTCTAGGTAACATAAAAGGCTGAAATTTGCATTCAGCTTGTATCTGGCATCAGTGTTCTGTTAGTAAAAACAATATAATGATTCCCTGAATGGATAGGAAGTATTTCATAGTGGCTTTGGATTTGTAAATAGATTTTAAATGGCATTAATGTGTTATTATTTTTCTAAATGATCACTAAAATGAAGTGGTGCTGGATTTTGTTGTTTTCTGTTGTCAGTATTTTGCCTGTTTTGATGCTTTACCTGACTTATTACCTTCTTGATATTCCCCTTCCAAAAAAAAAAAATATCATTAGTTTTATATACTTTGTCCATGACCTTTTTGGCATTTCAATGAATCAAAACCAGTAGCTTCATTACAGGCTTATTTAATATACAGTAGCAGATCAACCAAGCTGACAGTCTTTAGATCCCTCTGTGAAAGGACTTTGAAATTACACTTGCAGAGAAGTCTGTGTCTCCTTTTTATTTCTTGTGCTGGGACATCTTCTAATGATTCCAGGCTTTCAGTCTCTTCTTAGTGGGTGTTGTGTTATTAAATATTTAAGAATTATATGGTTGTGATGAATCCTATTTCAGAATAGCAGAAATTTGTTCATTGCAGAAAGTTTTCAGTTGGAATTTGGCTTTAAAACATTCAATATGAGAAGGAGCTGGGGGAAGGACAGAAGGGAGGTTGCCTAAATCTGAGCTTTACGAGTCTCTTCAGTCTTATTTTTGATGAGGCAGATGTTTTGCTGAAGAAAATGTGTAGTCTTGTTTAAAACATGGTTAGATTGACATATTTGTGGAAAAAATCCAAAATGCAGATGAGCACATCTCAAATGAAGAGCTAATAATCAACCCAGTATTTCAATAGAAAATTTTATGGCCCTGGACTTCAGCCTCCATTGTCCTATTATTTAGATAAGGAGTTATTATAAATTTATTTATTGTAAGTTGTCCTGCTCAGTGCTGAATTAGAAGAGTATTCTCGGCAGTGGGACTGTGGCAATTAAGCTGTTCAGTGTGGGTAGTAAACAGTTGTGGGGAATAGTTACTTGTCTGCAATGTTGTAATAAAAATCAGGGTTTTGTTTGGTTTTTTTTTTTTTCAGTTGTTATCTAAGAGGATACAAGTGGTTGCATGAGTAGATCAGGAAAGAGTTAGTGGTGGTTGGATGTTTAAGCAACACAGTGCAAAGAATCTTAGGATACAATTTGAGGTACTTGAAGGCTGGACAAAGCAGTGCATTTTGGTATAGATACTTTTTATAGGAGTAGTCAAATAAATGAAAATTACTTGCTTAGGAAATAAGTTTTTTTAAAGTTTTTCTGTGCCTAAAGATGTAGACAATTGTTTTAAAATTAGGAAAGAAAATATGGAAGTAGAAAGAATGTTTATTCTGTGTTTGACAGTTGTTTTTTCCTTTATTTTTTAGTGTAATGTTAGTTTTTGATCATATGTGTGAACATTCTTCGTATATTGAAATGATGAATATGAAGGCAGCATTAGAAAAGGTATAATCATTCTACATTATTTATGGAGTGTTTGGTGTTTATCATAAGACCCACATCGTAACTAGTTCTGTGTTGTGTGTTGGGACTGAGTGATGCAATTACCCATAATATTTGCCAGTGTTGTAAGAAAACACCTCTTGTCCCGGGTGTGACTCACTGCCAAGGGCCAGGGCCTGTGGGACTGTGTGTGCAAGGTCAGGATGCTCTGCACTGACAGACTGTACCCAGTGATCAGCTCCCTTCTCAACCTTCCCGATAAGCTGAATAAATTAAACTCCTTAATAGGAAAAGATGAGGATACCAGATAGCTGTGGCTTGTTGACAAGCTCTAAAATTCTCTGTGAGCAGAGGAGAGAGAAAAAGTCCAACGTAGTATGGGAGAAGAGGGATGTGACTGTTGCCATGGTCTAAAAGGGTTGGCTGGCCTACAACGAGTTCAGGGAATGCATCACAGGGATGAAGGAATGCTGCTCTGGAAAACTGCCTTGTCCACGATCCCACCTCAGCTTGTGCTGGCTTTTGGCAACGTGGAGGTTGCACATTCTGAATCTAAGCAGGGCTTTCAGCTCCCCTTGCTAATTCTTCCCATTTCACGTGGCGTAAGTAATACAGCCACTGGCATTGACCTGGTTTGGAGCTTGTATAAATTATAAGGCTTCTTTCTTTGTTTTTCCAAATGTTGCAAGCAATGATCAGCTTTGGTGGCTGATAAATGGTTTGTAACTCCTGTTGTAGCATCTGCCCTTCCAGCAAGGAAGGTGCTGCCAGCTGGTTTCAGCGAGGGCTCATTTGTGAATATTTTGGAGTAATTCTGTTCCTTGTAACTAGGGAGTTTTTACTAGTCAGCACTGCTTGTCATGTTATTTATGCTGCAGATCATGATATTTTTTACTTGTTATGTCTGAAAAATCTTACATAATCAGTGTATCTGAGAATCTTTAAGCAGCCTACTCTATACTGAGTGATCAAGGATGCAACTAGAGGCCACTCCTACAAAACCTGATTTTTAAAATGTTTGTGTATATTACTTTTTTTTCTTTCAGATGTCAACTCTTCAACTTAACTGAGACAGCAGCTGCATAACTGGCAGAAAGGGCTTTTCTCCTAGAGCTGAACTGTGCAGCTTAGCAGGATATTGAGGGAGTAGAATTTCAGAGGAATCTTTCCTGAACCTGAGACTCTTAGGGTTATTTCAAAAAATATTTAAAGATGGTTTTATTTTGGTAAAATGTTGTCTTTTTTTCCCCTTAAGTATAGTTTTGTCATCATTGTTGCTACATGGAACCTGAGACAGACTAACATTGTGCAAATCTGATTAAAATTATCTGTGCTGTTTCAAAGGTCAGGTGCACTCAGTGAGTTTGCTTTCAAATTATTTTGTTTATTCTGTGTATGTATGCATCTTGAGCTCTATAAAGGTCAGGAGAGGAGATTAATTTTGGAATTTAAAGAAGTTAGGTTTTTACTGCAGGTAGCCCTGGTTAGTGTCATTTGAACTAATCAAAATTATTTTCCTCTGTTGTTTTCTTTTTGCTGTCAGTTTTATTTATCTAATGAAACTTGTTTGTAATTATGAGGTCCATTTGAAAATAAGGCAGTATTAGTAATGTTTTTAATTTTTTTCATATTTTGTATGATCTGAAAAATTTAAGTAGTATTTGCCCAAATTAAACAGTATTCTTATTTGGGTTTTGTTTTCTTGGCATCTTTAATTCATCTGGTAGACTAACTATTTTCTTAACTAGAATAATATGTTTAAAGGATACACAGTATGTAATTGTCTGTGGCCACAAGTGGTGTAATAAAATAGCCGTGGTGGTGCATTTCCTTTCAAATTCATAACAATCCTGCTTATTAATGTTCAGGTTGACTAAAATAAACAC